AGTAGAAGATGGTTTCATTCCGATTTTTATATTAATAGTAGGTATTATTATAATTAATTGCTCAGAATGCTTCTCCCTCATCACTGCCTTGTGAGCTCCCTCAGTTGAAGGATTTAAGCTGTCTTTGTCCTCATGCGCAGTGGATGCCTTGCTCACATGTAGCATCCTATAAATACTCACATACAGGAGTAGTCGGTGAACTGGAACCTGCTGCTCACTGTATCTGGACACTGTTGTGTATTCTGGGAGTGTCAGACCTTACATAACGCTTTTTGTCACTGAGGGCAACATTACAGGTCTATCTGTGGCCACGGTCTGGAGCACAGGAGAGTCAGGAGCAAGCAAGTTCAACACAATTTCATTCTCTAAAACATGACAACTTTCCAGGTTTTGAGAGGAATGTTCCTCCAGATGCTCCTGTCCCAGGTCACCTGCTGTGTCCCAGGTCATCTGCTGTGTCCCAGGTCACCTGCTGTGTCCCAGGTCACCTGCTGTGTCCCAGGTCACCTGCTATGAAGGAGCATGTGGAGGGCACACCCATGCATGTGCATTGGAGGTGCCAGATGTGGATTCCTCTCCTGCTTCTATTACCTTGGGATATATTGTGCAATATCTTGAGTCTTCCTAATGCTTTTTGTGTTCGCCATGAAACTTGATAAATTTAAACTAAGCCTCAAAAAAGCATTATTTTAAGTACACAAAAGGCAGAATTGTACATACTAGGTAAACGAGCATAGCTTATTGCTTCCCAAAACAGTGCGTATTTATATATTAAGATTAAATCGTGCGGAAATGTCACTGTGAGACCCCATTATTCTATAATCTATATACACTGATTGTTATGTTAATCTCATCAGCTTTAGTGGGTTGAAACATGCCTAGGGGGTTACCACAGCATATTTCTAGGGGTATATGTGGCGGGGGGTGGGTAACGTAACACTGCTCTAGGGGTATCTATGTGTGTATGGAGGAGCACAGCACATCTCTGGGGTATCTGTGTGTGTATGGGGGTAGCTCAGCACATCTCTAGGGGTATCTGTGTGTGTATGGGGGGTGACAAGCTTATCTCTAGGGGTATCTGTGTCTATGGAAGTAGCACAGCTCATCTCTAGGGTATCTGTGAGGGATTTTAGATGATGACATCTCTGTCCTGAGTGGATTCAAGACGTGGATAAAGCATGAGGAGGGGTTAGCACTGTGGAAGGTGGGACCCAGTTGGAGGAAATAGTCCTTGGGTGGGGCGTCCTGGGGGACTCTGTTTTGTCCTGGTCCTTCCTGTTACTGCCCCCCTCTGCTTATTGCCTGCCATTTTGTGAGCTGTTCCCCCATACCTTTGGATAGGATGAAATCAGGAGCCAGAATTCATACTTTCTTCCTTTAACTTATTCTGCTGTTATTTCTCCTCCATTACAGGCTGACACACTGCTCAGAAGTGAAGAGGATTGATTAGATTGAGCAAAACACAACATCAGTTAACAAAAATCACCAATTACAGTCTCAGGTCATTTGGTATATCATATAAAATATCTCTTTTATGTCATGCTTAGCTTACATGTGTAGGCATGCACTTTGGATAATTTATGATAGAGTTTGTCCTTTGCATAGGTGTAGAAAACTTCTGCAAAGATATAGAAAAACTATTAAACAATAGTTATCTCTAGAAGTTATGGCTACAATTTCTGGTGTTGAAAGACTTGCTTTTCATTTTCTCTGCTTCTAACTTTTTGATTATTTTCTTCGTGTAGAAACTACAGTTATAAGAAACTAGTTGAAGGGTAGGGTTGGAGCTCAGTGAGCAAAGTGCTTATGTAGTAACCTAAGGGCCTGTATCTGATTTCAGCATAAAGACATGAGGGAGGAAGGAGGGAGCGAGAAGGGGAGAGGGAGAGAGAAAGGGGGAGCGAGGGAGGAGGAAGGAGGTTTCTGAAGCGGGCTTTATAGAAGGAAGAAATAGGCAACCAGACCTCTCAGGCGAATGCTGAGTCTCACTAAATTGGATGAAGGAGATCTGGTTGAGGGATGTCATGGGCCAAATAACTCGTGAGGGAGTCTGCTGATGAAGAGAGCGACTTAGTGGGGTAAAGGGCAAGAGTAAGACAAACAGGGTTACCGTGAAGTTTTACGTAGATGAAAGATGATCTTAGATAAGTAAAACCCGCAGAGCGGTTGTTAGCTCTTATTTTTGTGTGTGCCCAGATCGTGCGGCAGCCTGAAATAGTAACCCAAGAGAATCAAGGTCTTCTGTACTAGTTTGGATTTGGTCAGTGTATTACAGATATTCTGGGCTTTGTTATCCTCAATCACAAGTAAGCATAGGACTTTGGAACTAAGCATGATTATACGTACTTGTATTCCATGCAGTAGGAAGCTGAGGCAGGAGGATTGTGAGTTCAAGATTATGAGCTGCATAGCAATGCTCTCTCCTCCCCCCCCCCCAAAAAAAAGCATAGAGTTTTTTGGCAGAGAAATCTTAATTATCATGAAAAAATTACTCTCTTCTGGTTAATTTCTTGTTTTCCATTTAAATTGGTGTTTGAATCAATGTGGTGATTCTTACACTAAACAAGAATTTTTTCTTAGTAGCTTAGTGTTCATAAGCATACGAACTGTTTACGTGACATACTGCCTTCTAGGTACTTAGGTATAATGTGTTCATAATTTTTCCCCTTATTGTTGCAGACTAGGGTATAGATTGTCTCCTTGCTTTGGATCTAGCAGAGCGCATATATTTGCCCTTTTTTCTTTAACTGCGCTACTTTAAAAGAACACAGCAGCTGCCCACAAGTCCAGCGTCACGCTTAGTACCATGGAGACAAATTAGTGCAAATTATTAGAACACAGCTCCCCTCGAGGGAATCCTAGGCTTTTCTTAGCCTTTACTGAGAAAGTTCTCTTGAGACTAGTGGATATTCTTATTTTTAGTGAAAATAAATTTTGTTTCATAGAATGTATTCTCCTCTCCCAACTCCTCCTAGATCATCCCCATCTCCCCACTCATTCCACACCTTCTTCTCTCTCTTGGGAAAACAGGCAAATAAAAACGAACAATAACAATGATAACAACAACAAGGCAAGAGCAACAGAAGCCCAGAAACACAACTCAAAAACAAAACACATAAAAATACAAGATCGGAAACCATAATATACAAGCAAAAGATCAGTAAGAGTTAAAAAGAATTGCCAAACAAAGCAATATAAAACAACAGCAAAATCCCACTGAGTTAGCTTTACATTGGTCATCTAAGGCATGAGGCTTCTTCCTTCAAGTGTGAGTTATGCATCCTGTTGAGCCTCCATTGGAGAAAATTAATTTTTCCTTTGTAAGTGGTTGTCAATTGGACATAGCCTTCTGGGTTAGAGATGGGCACTCATGACCACTTCCCATTTCAGTGCTGGGACCCCTTCTGACTGAGACCTGGGCAAGCCCTGTGATGCGGCCACAGTCTCTGTGAGTTCCTATGTATGTCAGTCCTGTTGTGTCAAGAAGACACTGTTTCCTTGGTGTTCTCCATCTCCATCTTTCCACCTCCTCTTCTGCGTAGTTCCCGGAATCCCGAGAGGATGCCGCCCACTCTCTGCACATTGTCTAGTCCTGGCTCTCGGTACTGATTGCCATCTACTGCTGAAGGGAGCTTCTCTGGTGATGGCTGAGTGAAACACTGAACTTTGTGTAGAGCAGAAGGTCAGTAGGAGTCATTTGGTTGCTATGAGCCTTTAGCAGAGCAAGAGTACTTGGCTTTCCTGTGGGTTCATGGCCTATCTAGTCTCAGGTTGTAGGCCGCCTAAGAAATATTGAGAATGGGTTCCATCTCAAGGAGTGGCCTCAAGTCCAAAGAGATAGTGTTTGGTTACTCTCACAACATTTGTGCTGCCATTGCACAAGCGTATCACACCAACAAGTCACCATTGTAGATCACAGCGTTTGTAGCTGGATTTTTGTTTGCCTTTCTCCTCTAGTAGCATGCAGAGTGCCTTCAGTACCATGAACACTAGTTACAAGGGGTTAAGGTGCTAGTTAGGAACTGGCTCAACTTCTCTGTGCTCAACGAGATGTTTTAAGTGTCTTCAGCCTGACAGTTGGTTTCTGGAGAGCAACTAATGGTTTGGCAATAGCCAAATTGTTTGGGGTCTCCATGGGACCCCTTTGGCCAACAACTCAATTAGACTTAACCCTCTTCTGGAACTGGAGGTTTCACTTGATGGCAAATGACATCTAGTTGGGGCTTTGTCTCCTCCATTATTGAGTGACTCCATTTAGATTTATTTCACATATGTAGATGGCTTTTGAAGATTCTACTATAGTAGGATTTCATATGACCTCTCAAATAACTCTTAATGTTATTGTCCATATTTTCTCCCCTACTCCCCTCTTCCTTCCCCCTCTCTGCTTAATCCTGTTCCAGTTTCCCCCGTTTCTCCATTACTCTTTACTCTGTTTTTCTTTCCTTGGGAGACCACCGCCCAATCTCTTACTCTATCCCTAGCCTCCATGATTATGTAGCTTGTAGTCTGCATATTGAAGCTAGTGGATATTCTCATTTGCCCCATTGCTAATATAATATAATAACAATTCTTTATACGAGCCTACATGTTTAGCTAGTGATTTTGTGATCTGTGCTTAACAGATCAGTTTTCTTTTATCTAGAAGTTTTGGTCTATAGTACATGAGTGTATGTGTGTGTGTAGAGCAAGTGTATATGTGTGTATGATATTCATATGTGTGTGAGAACATGTGTATGTGTGTATAGAGCACGCATATGTGTGAAGAGCATGTGTATGTGTGTATAGAGCATGCATGTGTGTGTAGGGAATGTGTGTGTGTGTGTGTGTGTAGAACATGCATATGTGTGTAGAGTAGTGTATGTGAAGTTCATTGAATGTGTACATTAGACATGTTCTAAAGCAGAAACCAGGAAAACTGCCATTAGAGTTGTCAATTTATTCATCTAACTTTTCTTCACTGTATTTTTTTGTTTTTCTTTTCTTCCTCTGGTCTCTAGGCTGGGGAATGACGACACAGACTTTGAGGTGAGCATGGCCAACGATGGGTGTGAGGTGCATCGTTTTGATCCTAGTGTCAAATCAGCCCACGTTCTGGAGAGCCAGCGCCTCTGGCATCACCGTTTGTCCATCGACTGGCGGGATCCACATCCAGCTGTGGCTGCTCAAAAGCTACGTAGCAACACCAGAAAACTGGGAAGCATTTTGAATGAATTTGGGCATCACAAGGTGAGACTTCCCGTTTTAATTCACAATTAAATAAAACGAATAGACCCATCAAATTAAGAAAATGAAAAGCATGGCTAATAATGCTAGGAAACTGAAGATCCCATGTTTCAATATTGCTGGGCACTGTCCATTGCTCATAGAGCTGACCTGTAGACACGTCGGGGAATTCTAGAGCTGTTGATACTGAACTGCAGAGTTTCGTTGCTCCTAAGGAATGCTAAGAATGGCCAAGTTGAGACAAGAGACTAAGAAGCTACTTCTCACAGAGACTTCAGCATACTTAGGAATTTATCTAAAATTTCCAGAAAACTAAACTGCTTATTTCAACCTTGAATATACAAAAATAATCCTTCTTATGTTTATGTTTGGAAAAACACTGGCTTTTACATTTCTCAAGTTACTGGCTATTTTGAGACATTTTGGCTCTTAAAGTACAAAACCCACATGTAGCTCTGAGTAAAATCTACTTTCCAAAAATGAATGGACATCGTGTACATTGCAATTTATATAATTATATCAAAGCATGTGAAATATCTGCAAATACCCCATTGTGGAGGAACAGCATAAAGGAACTCAATCTTCGAACAATGTTCCTTGAGCTCAAGTTTTAGCTTCATATACCCAAGCAGACGCTAAAGGGGTGGTTCTGGGTGCAATTGCCTTTTTTTTTTTTTTTGGTTTCCGTCTCTCCTTAAGTGAGTTTGACCTGTCCTAGCCTATGGTGCCATGAGGTGTCATGTAATTTAAAACATGTCAAAATAAGAGCCCATCTGTGAGACAAGGTGTGGGGGATTTTAAGTTTGAATTGACTTCTTGATCTTTAATAAAAGGACTTGCCCTGTGGATTACCCCTTTCCTCTCCTCTCTCCCCCTCCTCTTTCTCCTCTCCTTTGAAAAAAAAAACCTGTCTTAGTTAGGGTTTAATTGCCATAATAAAGTTGGGGAGGAAAGGATTTATTTCCTCTTATGGCTTGGAGTTCATCATTCAGGGGAGTCGGGGTAGAAATGCAAGGTAGGAGCCTGGGGGTAGGAGGTGATGTGGACAGAGGCCACGGGGAGGGGGGGGGACGCTGCTTACTGGCTTGCTCCCTAAGCCTTTCTCAGCCCACTTTCCTAGAGAACCCAGGACCACCCGCCCAGCCGCGGCACTACCCGTAGTGTGCTGGATCCTCCCACAGCAACGTCAATCAAGAAAACGCACACTGGCTTGCCTACAGGTCACTGTGGGGACATATTCTCAGTTGTGGTTTCCTTTTCCCAAATGACCTGTGTCGAGCTAACCCAAAATCAGCCAGCATACTCCCTTTAATCAGACAGTCAAAACTTTTCCAAGAACAGCCTTGAGGAAGTTATTGCTCTTTTTACACAGGACTAGCTAGCCATTTGTACTTTGTTTCTGCCACTAAGAGCAACCAGCATCCAACAGTGAGGAACCTTAAATGCTTCCTGGCTACAATATTTCGAGTAAGATCTCTGAATAGAACTTTTTTTTCATGGTCTACTAAATTTTTAATTAGTGTGGGAAGTGGAGGCATTTTTCAGAATTCACTTCCAGTTTATTCTTTTTTGCCACTCCTACTTTTGCAAACCTGTTTTTCTTTACTGATGATAATAACAAACCACTTTCCCAATCTGTCAAGTCTAGATTCTCTGCAGAGTGGAACCTCTCTGTGTTCAGCTTTATTGCTGCTCTCTGTGGCTCACTTGCTAGTCCTGCCCACCCTCGCTCTTCTGAGACAAGACTGAGTAGGCAAAGGAGGTTAAGGTCAAAGCCCTTTGTGCATTCTTCAATACATTTTAGCAAAAGACTTGCTAGAGAAGAGGATAAAATGAGGCTTTGAAAAAAATTATGTGTGCATGTAATTCATCCAAGCACATTTCCTACGGAGAGTATATTTTAGGATAATGAGACACAGAGTTGAACTACATGCAACCAGCTCTCTGGGAGCTGTAGCGGGCCAACCTTTATGCTGGGGGTATCATGGAGCATTTTGCCCCTGGATAGCAGAAGCATTTACAAGGATACTTAAAGAGGAGAGATCAAGGGTTGCTTTTGTTCCTACAGTGGTTTATTTTTTCTTAAAAGCAGTAATAACAATGAAAGGAATCTGCCTCAGAATTGCCAGGTATGGATTTGATGCTTCAAGGAAAATTCACTGTTGAGGGATGGAAAAGCCATCAGTCTCCTTCACAGAGATTCTTCGGCTGAATACTTTCAAACAGAAACAACAAAAACTAAGCCCCCATTGAATGATTGCTTCCCTTGGAAACACTCTGCGAGGGGCTACGCAGTGCCAGATGAAAGGAAACCTCATTTGCGGCTGGAGAGAGCGTGGTCTGTTTTCCTTCCTCCCCGTGTGTGCGGACATTGATAAACAGGGCAGGACTGTGGCAGGGGAGGCGGAGAGAGCAAAACACCCGAAAGATCGGCATTCCCACCCCTTTGTCTCTTGATTCTGAAAGCAGCAGTAGAAGCCACACAGGGCTTTGATGACTGTAAAATATCTCCTATGGTTTTGTGATGATTTTCATATTTGCCTGTTTTCCTTCTTTTTTCCTTCTCTGCATCCAAACCTGGTTTCTAGTCAAGCGAGGGACGTGAGAGCAAATGTCGGCAGTATTTGGAGAGAGTGACAGAAAGATGCATATGGCTCGTGTGCTGCTGTAGAAACTCTTTGCTAATTTTAACTTCAAACTATAAATCAACAAAGCCTTTGCAAAGCATCATGCAGAAGCAGCTGCATCAGCAAGGCGGCCCTGGACCAGAAGCCCTGTCTGCCAGGGAGTAACATCACCCGGACCCAGGCCCGCTGGGGGTGATTTACTGTCTAGCCCGTGCTGCAGTGGTTGTTGATGTTAACTAAGTCTGGGAATTTTTCAAGAGCGGATGAAGATTACACTCGAGGATTCTGCTCTTATTAATTTTACTGTGTGGTTTTTCTCCCCCAGACTCTTCGTCGCATACTCAGCATTTCCTACATGATCCGGGCTGGGAAATGATAAATTACGATCCTTATTGTTAGCAGCCAGCTAAAGGTTCTTCTGCCAAGTTTGGGTGGGAGATGTGGCTGTTAAACTGCAGCTCTCTTGGTGCCAAGCAGCTCTGGGCTTCGGGGATCGGGAGCCTCTGCTCTTTGCATCCAGCTCTGCTTCCCCCGCAGCAACCAGGGGTACTGCACTCCCTGGCTGTGGGCTGCAGTGACTGGGGCCGGAAGTGCTTCCAGTTCTCAGTTTTCCATAGTCTTCCTCTTGCCCCACCTTGAGCCTTGGCCCCAGGGTCTCAGTTCTCCATAGAGACACTTCTGCACTCTGCCCTTGTCTCAGTCTGCTCCAGCCTCGGTTCCTGTTCCCGGCCATCCTCGGGAACTCCTCTGCTGCCCCTTGTTACTACTGGGGACGCCTGAGGCTGAGCCCAGGGGGTTGCTGCTTTTCATGCCGCCAGCTCAACGCGTTCTCTCCATCGGAAAGACCACAAGGTAGGCAATGTGACTCTTCAGGAAAGGCGCTCTGTGGATGCCTAGTTTTGCAGCGTGGTAGGACCGTACAGGGGGGAGATCTCATCAGAGTGAGAGGCGGGCTGCTAACACAGCCTGACACGCAAGCTCACAGCCCTCTGTCCACAGCACCCTCTGCCACACAGTCTGCGAAGATCGTACTAGGCCTATCATGGAGGCAATCAGTGCCCAGCCTGACTGCAGGTGTTGGGTGACTTCTGGAGTGCCTGTGACCGTTCACCTGATGCTGTCATGGCTGAAACAACATTTCCAAGGGTTGATTCTGAGTGCCTGGAGTGGCTCTTAATAAATGAAGCTTTTTTTTTTTTTTTTTTTCAAAGCAAAAGCCATGGTTGGGGTAGTGGCTATAAAAGCTACTGTTGGTTTATATTGTTGGAAGGAGACCTCCTCGGGGCACCTGTGGCTGGACAGAAGCCTCCCTGAGCAGCCATGAGGTCGTCAAAACAGAGCTCCCATGACAACAGTAGGAAAAATCACACAAGTAAGCTGACTGATTGACAGCTCCCATGAGGGCCATGACAAACGGGGCTGAAGCTGGAGTTGCCGGCTGTCTCTGGTGGGATGGTACCAATGTCATTTCCAGCCCCACTGGATCTGAGAACAGTGGAGACAGCAGCACTGGTTTCCATTCAGACTCAGTTCTTTATGCTCCTGGAATCATCCCCTACTGGGCTCCTTAGCAACCGCAGTAGCAACAGAAAAGGGCTGTCTGACAGCTGTCAGTCATGCAGCTGATCAGCTCGCTCTGACAGCTCCAGTCATTTGAAAAAAAAAAAAAAAAAAAGCAAGCAAACAAACCAAGCCTATGACAAAGATCTCACACAAAATTTCATTCTTTGGTGCCCTTTATCCAACAATACATAACCCCCAGAAGGCAGGATGGCTTCTCCTGGTCTGTATCTTCCCTAGTATGACCTTCAGTCTTGACCCTACTGCTGATAGGAAGGAAAGGCAGCTTCCTGGGTGCTTACCTCAAGGAAGGCCTTAATCAAGACTTGACCCACAAGTTGGCTTGTTAGCATTTGGCACTGGAAAAGTCAGCTGGCCTCTCTGGACACTTTGATCATCTTAAACAACACCGGCTTTAATTAAGTGTGGCTTGTTTGGAGAATTAGATCTAAGAACACAGTGTGGAAGTCTCCAGTCGAAAGCCTGGCATGGGGTCGTCACTTCATCTCTTGCAGTGAATTTAAAGAATCGTGATCCACATTGCCTGTGACTTTTAACCAAATATTACAGAGAATGCCGACTTTTCTTTCTTTGTTCTCAGGGAGACTATGCCGTAGATGCATCTAGACGTCGCTAACTACAACTAATTTCAGGCAAGAGTTATTCGCGAAAGCTTTGTGTGAAGCTAAAGGGCACTTGGTCCTTCGGACGTGGTTGAAAGAGAATTCGTTCCTGCCTTGTGGCACGGAACAGCTTTGCTGGCGACTGTGTAGAAAGTAAATACTGCACCGCAGAGAGAATGAATAAGCCGCTGAGAATTAATTGGAATCTGTTTCCCATGAGCAGATGTCCACCCCCGGGCTGGGCTGTCTGGTCAGGTGGCTCTGAGGGACTGGGCCTCCTCCCTGTCAGCTCAGGTCTCTGCCCCTGCTTCCACCTGCCACTATTCATCCAGCCCAGTGTCCCCTTGGACTCTAAGAGAACCATAGTTTCTGCCTGCCCAAGTGAGAGCTTTCTAGAACATCAGTTTTTGTCTATGGTTTGTGTTGTTTGAGGGAACATGGGCTCTGAAATCAAACAGCAATTCTCCTCTGTGCTGCGCACGCAGCTTCCGAATGGCTGTGAGGACTGTAGAAAGGGTCATTGATGTGAGTAGACTTTGGATCTGGTCATTTTTGATACGTAATACTTTTATTTTGCAAATGAAGTTTATTGAAATGGTTTAGAAGATTTTTTTAAATGAAATAAAGAAACATTTGAAGGGCTAGTATACTTAGTGGTTGAGAGCTTACCAAGTAAGCACAAGGCTCCAGATTGGATCCACTGGGGGGAAATGTTATAAAAACTAAAGACAAAAATAATAGAGAAAACAGCGACGAGAAACAGTTCACAGCAAAGAAGAGGTACAGAGGCTTGATTTGTTTGCACAGACATACATGCAGGCAAAAAGAAGGAAGTCTTCTGTCTGCACTTCCGTGATGTTCCCTGAGCCTCGGAGGCAGGGAGGTTAATAGATGTAATTTATCCACAGCTAAGCATTCACAGTCATGTGTACGTGACACTCCAGCCAGTTATGAGTCTGCATTGGCCATCACCAATTGTGAAAGGAGGTCTCTCTAGTCAAAGCTGAGACGTTAACTTGAAAAAGGATAGTCCTAAACATGGAAGGAAAAGTTATGAAAAATTTGGAGGAAATGTTTAAGACCTTGAGATTGGTAAATATTTCTTTTCCTCTCTCTCTCTCTCTCTCTCTCTCTCTCTCTCTCTCTCTCTCTCTCTCTCTCTCTCCTTTTCTCTCTCTCCTTCCATCCTTCTTTCTTTATCTTTCTTTTTTTTGGGGGGTGGGTTGTTTGTTTTTTTTAAAGACAGGGTTTCTCTGAGTAGTCCTGGCTGTTCTGGAATGCTCTTTGTAGATCAAGCTGGCTTTGAACTCATAGAGATCTACTTGCTTCTGCCTCCCAAGTGCTGGGATTAAAGGTGTGTGCCACCAAACCCTGCTAGGCAAATATATCTTTAAATTTTGGAGGGCATGAGTTTTTGCCTGCATGTATGTCTGTGCACCATTGCATGCCTGGCACTCAAGGAAGCCAGAAGAAGGTGTCAGATCTCCTAGAACTGAAGTTATGGGTGCTTATGATCTGCCATGTGGGTGCTGGGAATTGAACTGCATCCTCTGGAGAGCCTCCAAGTCTCCTAAACACCGAGCCATCTTAGGCATCCAATTCTCTTAAACACTGAACCATCTCAGGCAAGCAGTTCTTAAAGATTTAAAAAAAAAAACACTTTAAAAAGATAGTATTTCATCAAGATAAAATATTCTACTCATCCAGTGATGTTGTTAAGAACATAAATCCTGAGATAGAATATTCAGCACAGCAGATCAGATTTTAAACCTTTCATCCAGAATGCACAAATAATATTTACACTGAAAGTTGGGGGTGGGGTGATCAGCAACCCAGTTCAGAACTGGACAAAAGATCTGAACTGACACTTTCCCAAAGATGATACGGAGAGGCAAAAACACACGAGAAGATGCTCAACTCCTCTAGGTACCAGGGGGAAGGAAAGCTGGAGTCAAAACAGATGTTACTTTAACATCCACCAACCGCCAAACCGCCACCAAAGCCACACAGTGAAAGACAGACAAGAGCAGCAATGAAGGAACCACCAAACCGCCACCAAAGCCACACAGCGAAAGGACAGACAAGAGCAATAGTGAGGGCGACAATGGACCGCTCAGGCATTCTTGATGGGAATGGGAGCATTTTGGAAGAGTTTGGCAATTTTGTGTTGAATCAGTGCTACAGTGTATATCTGGAATGGTACCCAAAGGCCCAGGTCTTACAGCTTGATCTCCAGCCTGTGGCACAATTAGAAAATGATGCAACTAGTGGGAGGTCTTTAGGGCATTAGGTGTGGGCCCTTGGTGTCACTGCTGGGACCGCAGGCCCTTCTCCCTCTTTCATGCTCTGGCCGTGAAGTACACAGCTTCACCTGCCATGATCTGCAGGCCAGACAACCCTGCACGGAAACCTCTAACACAAACCCTTCTTTCCAAAGGTGGCTATCTCAGATATGTGTAAAGTCATGGAAAGTTGGTGACGCAGTTGAACCTGTATTTACTAATAGACCCAGAGGCCCACTTCTAGGTGTTTATGCAGGAGAACTGAGCACAGATGTCCACACAGCGACTTGTGTTTGAAAGTTCATGTAACCCCTAACCAAGGCAGTCCAGATGTGTATCAATCTTCATTGTGAACATGCTCTGATTTAAAAATCATGTAGTAGGCACACCTTTGGCACCTTCCCAGAAAGAATTACTGAGGAAGGAAGGTCTACCCTGATGTGGGTGGCGCCATCCCGTGTGCTGGAGACCCAGACGGAATACAAGGGGATGAAGTAGAAAGTCAGATGAAGGCCAGCATGGCGCTCTAATCTGCCCCAGATGTGAGCAAACAGCCTTATGAGTCCACCATCATGCCCTCCCTACCATGAAGGGCTACACCTGCTACTACTGTAAGTCCAAAACACTTTCTTTATTAAGTCCCCTCTTGTCAGGTGTTTCATAACAGCAACAAGAAAAATAACTAATACAACATTTGAATAAATAGGTTATGGTTGGACTATATTGAAAAAACAACATGCCATATGCCTTACCTCCCATATAGGCGGAATACAGCTCAAAAATAAAAAAAAATAAGCTTAGTAATGTATAGGATATGAACCCATCTTGCAGACTCTATACTAGATAAAAGGGTGCACAGTGTACAGTTCTCTGCTCATTCAGATTCTAGAAAAGAAAACCCCTATGAGCTCACGGCCGGAAGTGACCAGCCATGACCTGGAGGAACTGAGATGGATGGAGGGGATCACAAGGGACTTTCAGATGTGTGAATGCTCTGTGTTGGAGTGTGTTGATGGCTTATATGGTGTTCACAAATGTCACAAGTCTTTGGGTTGCACACTTGAAATGTATGGCTTTATTGTGTTGAATGAGGAGCAGGCCGGCCTTTGGTCCCGTCCACCCAGCTATCTTATACCCAAAATAATCACACAGAAACTATTCATTTAAACACTGCCTGGCCCATTATATCTACCCTCTTCTTGGCCAACTCTCACATCCTGATCTAACCCATTTCTATTAAATCTGTGTATCACCACGTGATTGTGGCTTACCGGCAAGATTCTAACCTACGTCCATCTCAGGCAGGAGATTCATGGCGTCTGCCCTTCTTCACAGCATTCTGTTTTGTCTACTTCTCCCACCTAAGTGCTGCCCTATAAAAAGGACAAGGCAGTTTCTTTAATAACCAATGAAAGCAACACAAATACAGGACCTCCTATACCATTATTGTATGTAAATTATGCCCCACAAAAGGAAAAGTAAAGAAGAATATGGAGGTTGTTGCCGTTCCATCGTTTTCACAGTGGTTTTGTTTTTCTAGCCTCTCCCTGAAAGAAATGAAAACCTGGGGAGGTCTTCTGCCTCCGGGGAGAATAGATCACCTGGGAAGAGATGCTATACTGCACCCTTTGAAATTTGTGCCTTGTGAATATTTAAGAAGTTAAAATAGGTTCAGGGGCTTATTGCTGTGGTTTAGATCTTAGTATTCTCCCAAAGACTCATGTGCTGAAGGCTTAGTCCTCAGCTTGACACTACCAGGTGGCATCCTTACTGCTTTGTCTTCAGGTTGAAATGACTGGGAGTTGTCCTCACTGCTTGGTCCTTAGGTTGACTGGGCAGGATCCTCATTGCTTGGTCCTCAGGTTGACATGACTGGGAGGCGTCCTCACTGCTTGTTTCTTGGCTTGACCTCTGAGAGGTAGTACAAGGAAGTTAAACCACTGAGAACTTGCCCTCAAAGGACTATTAGGATGCTGGTCTGTTTCTGTCTTTCTCTTTTGCTTCCTGGCTGCCATGGGACAGCCTTTTCAGCTACATTCTCTTTCCTTGGTGTTCTGTCTCACTATAGACTTAAAAGCAAGGGAATTGATCACCATACACGAGAACTCTTGAAACTGTGAACCCAAACAATCTTTCCTTTATTTCTACTTCTGGAGCTACTTAGGGATGCATCCTGGAGACTTTCAGTCTCCCCTTTTTATCCCTTAGTTGCTTTTTTATATATATATTGGTTTTTTGAGACAGGGTTTCTCTGTGGTTTTGGAGCCTGTCCTGGAACTAGCTCTTGTAGACCAGGCTGGTCTCGAACTCACAGAGATCCACCTGCCTCTGCCTCCCGAGTGCTGGGATTAAAGTTGTGCGCCACCACCGCCCGCTTTGCGCCACCACTGCCAGGCTGCTTTTTCATATTTCAAAATACCATTTATTCTCATACTTTGAGTAGATGCCTTAGTATTAGCTTCTAGCTCTTTCTTTTAAAACTGTGTCCTGAGCAAAGTTTATACCATTTATTGATATTTTTACTAGGAAAAAAAACTAACTTTTTACTTTCAAGATTTTAATTGGGTTCTTTCCTGTCCATCTGTTCTTTCGTAGTTGTGCATGTTTTATTTAAAAATGCATTGCCACTGCTTACATCTTGTGAAAGCAGATCTTATTTTTGAGTCCTCTGAGCATTCTAAACATACCAATTATAGGCAGACTGTTCAATAGAATTAATCTTGGAACGAATAACAGTCCATTTGGTGTTGAGGTTGTCTTTGCTCTTATCCTTTGACTCTTGTGTGCAGTTTGGAATTTTAATTTGCTGACTCATTTTCAGTGGAAGATTTTGGGTTTGGCTTTCTTTTTTTCTTTCCTTATTGGCTCATCCTTCACTGCTTAGTGCTTTTGCAGTAGTCCCAGGACCTAGTCTTATGCAAGCATTGAGAGGCTACTACTCCCCTCAATGATGCTGGGAATATCCCACCACTGAACCATCTGAAATCTGCCTCATTTGCTGTTTACTAGGTTGTCTTTATTCTCCTGAACTCTCCTTAGGGCCATGG